TCAGCCGAGACTTTGCAACCTCAGAACGAGCACAATATGCAACATCACCGAGCGCTCAGTTGGTGACGTCTGAGTTTTAAGGTCGGTGAAAAATGAAGTTTCTACAATTATAAAAAAATAAATAATTAAAATTATTAAAATCGATATCAGAATAGGCATATATAATCAGTAACTGCTATGCGAAGGCACAACAGTTCTCAACCCAAAACAAACCGAGTGTAAAGATTGAAATTTATGAGTGTTAGGGGTAAGCCTTATTAGGCCCAAAAGATCCATGGCCCACTGGCCTTTTATGAAAAAAAAAAAAAAAAACTTTACACTTTAACCATTGGGTTAAGCCCTCAGGCCAATCTACGAGCCTTATCCGTCGGCCTATGAGAGGCGGCTCATTGGCTTGCCCATCAGCCCCACCTATCTGAGCCCTTTGGGGCCAAACTTCTTGAGTAAAGATAAGAATATTTTGAGAATATAGGTAAAAGTTATTTTTTTAAGTTTTAGTTATTTTTTTTAAAATGTATAAAAAATATGAGAGATGATATAACTTAAAATGAGTTAAAAGTTGAGAAGTGGCTTTCAATCATAACGTTTTGACTTGCAAGCCAATCTAATATGAGACCGTCTAAAAAACTTTTTGTACTTAGCTCACGAGCAAGTTTAGACTACATTTTTGTGGTTTGACTTGGCCCTGATGACAAGGCTCAGTTAAAAGTATCCGAGAGTTGAAAAAATGGTTAAAAGTTAACTTTTTAATAAAAAGATGTGTAAAAAAATAGAGAGGTGATGTAACCTAAAATAAGTTAAAAATTAAAATTTGACTTTTAACCAAGTTCTCAAATTAGGCCAAACACATAAAAAAGATAAATCCAAATAGGTGAGCAAAAAACAAATAGATTGAACATAGTAGTTGTGTTTAATTTGAGTTGTGTCTACGGGCTCCTCAAATTCTTTCATGTTGAGGGGTTTATTGGGCCTACTATGAGCTATATCTTGATAATTTGAACCATTTATTTTGTAGGACTCTCAATCTATATTATAAAAAAAATAATTTGATCCAATAACCAGTGAATACTTATTTGCAAATACTCAAATCAATTATTAAGAACATGTATCTTGTTATTTTAATAGTATTAATGTCATATTTTATTATGTCATAGTGTAAACAAAATGTATTTTAAAAAAAAAAAACTCACTTATGTCGTATATATATTATTTTTTACCACAACTACTATATAATTTAATTTTTTAACATACAATGTAATTGTATATAACATTATTTATATTTGTTTGTAACATCTTGAAATTAATTTTTATTTAAAAATGTATTTTAATAATTAATATTTATAAAAAAAAATTAATTTGTTAATTTATCATGAGAATCACCATTATAATGACTGTGTTTATTGTTTGTTATGATATGATTCAATCTTTTGAAGTTCATTACATATGTTGAGATTTATCAAAATATAGATTTTAAAAAAAAAATGAATGTGCAATATAAAAGTTATGGTATTTTAAAGTTTAAAATATAAAAAGACGAAATTTCAGCACATTTATCAGTAACTTTTTTCATACAGTCAAATAATTAATATTTTATTTTTATGAAACTTTATATTCAATGTTAATATTATTTGATAGATCTCGTTATATATATTTTAAAAACATAAATTTTATTAAAAATAAGTTATGAAGGTTTAAAATTTTGAAACAACAATAAAAGTAAGGGGAAAATACTATTCATAGGATATTTTAAAAATTATTAAAAAAATAATGAAATATTTTATGATTTTAATTATTAACATTTATAATATCATTTTTTTTTTGTATTTTTTTCTCCGGAAAATCATTGACATGTAATTATCTCTAAAATTAAAAGGAGATGGTGTGGCTGTTGTACGCCTATTTGGGTCCATTTCGATAATCGAAATTGTTCGCTTTTAAGGTACATTGAATATAACATACTTACAAAAAAATTAAAGTTAATTGGATATCGTTGACCCTTTCATCGAATCGTATTTGTATTTAATTTTATACGTCAAATCAAATTTATTATTCGTTTTTGTAGATACAAATATAATTCGATTAACTGGTTAACGATATCGACAAACTTAATTTTTTACAAACATATTCTACCAAATATATTTTAAAAAATGAATAATTTAAATTATCAAAATAAATTTTAAAATGGGCCAAAATGGCCGCACGCCAGTCACACCACGTCCAAAATAAAATACTACATCAACATCTTAGCGGGTGTCATTTTAAGAGGGTGTTTGAGATAATCTAATTATATTTTTTGACTTTTTATATAAAAAAAATGAGAAATATAGGTTGAATTTGAAGCGATATAATAGAAGCGATATAATCGAGAGATGATTTGTCTCAAATAAAATAATTATAATCCAAATAAAATAATGTACTAAAATAATATGTGCTATTTTAACACAGGCCAAACACCTCCCTAAGTAAATAAGTGATCTAGCACTCTTCAAGCATGTCAAAGGATTATTAGGAAGTATACAATATGAACTATTGGATTGTCGAAAAAAACTGAAAAATAACTCCTACCAAGACACTATAGGTGTGATTTAGACCTGTTTGGAGAAGTAATTTTTTTTTTTGACTTATTAATTTTTTTTAAAAAATGTGTAAAAATATAAAGATATTCAAATAAATTAATACTTCTTCTATCCCAAAATATTAATTCATTATTTCATTTTTTATTATCTTAAAATATTAGTTCATTTTCAAAAATTAAAGATTAAAATAATATAAATTTCTTATTTTACCATTCTTTAAAATTTATTAATAACACAAAAAATTACAATCATGACAATTAATATTTTCAAAAAAATATACTATCAAAGAGTAATTTTAGAAAATTAAAATTTTAAAGTGTAATAATTATATTACTAAAAAAAGTTAGATTTTTCAAAAGGGATTATTATTTTAAAACAGAATGAGTAAATTGATTTTTTTTTAGTCTTTCAAAGGATGTCGTAGGCCTCATTTGGGAGCAAATTATTTTAGTAATTTTTTGATTTTTTATAAAACATCACATCCAACCCATAATCATTACATTCTTCTCTCACAAAAAAACTCAAAAAAGCCAAAAAGCCATTCCCAAACCAAGCTTTTAAGCCCAGGCTAAAATAGTCAAAAAAATCAAAAAGCCAAAAAGTCAACCCACTTCCCAAATGGAGGCAAAAGATTATTAGGAAGCATACAATATGAACTATTGGATTGTCGAAAAAAAACTAAAAAATAACTCCTACCAAGACATTATAGGTGTGACTTAGACCTATTTGGAGAAGTAAATTTTTTTTTTGACTTATTAATTTTTTTTAAACATGTGTAAAAATATAAAGATATTCAAATAAATGAATGAATAAAGCTTCGTCGCTCGAATGTCCCCTCCTAATCCCCCGAATGCCCAAAATGACGTCGTTTTGGGCATTCTCTCTTTTTCTTCTTCTTCTTCTTCTTCTTCAACGAGTCTGAAACAGAGGGAGAGGAAGAGGGAGGGAGAGGAAGAGAAAGAGGGAGAGGGAGAGGGAGAGAAGAGAGGGGAGCAGCAGCTTCGACCGCCGTCGTCGCAATAGCAGCTCCGATCGCCGATCATCAGCTCGTCGCAGCAACAGTCCGTCGCCCGTCACAGCTCGTCAACTCGTCGCAGCTCCGGCCCCGCCTCCGCCTCCACCTCCCCTGTGGTTATGGCCCCTTCCAGTCCTCCTCCTCCCTCCTCCTCCTCCTCTCTTCTCTTCTCTTCTCTTCTTCGTCTCTGCTTCTGGAAAAAAAAAAAAAAAAATTAGGGGGATTCGGGGGAGCTCATTTTCGACCTCCCTAGCATTACTCTTTTTTTAATTAGGATGTCAATTAATTCATTATTTCATTTTTTATTATCTTAAAATATTAGTTCATTTTCAAAAATTAAAGATTAAAATAATATAAATTTCTTATTTTACTATTCTTTAAAATTTATTAATAACACAAAAAATTACAATCATGACAATTAATATTTTCAAAAAAATGTACTATCAAAGAGTAATTTTAAAAAATTAAAATTTTAAAGTGTAATAATTGTATTACTAAAAAAAGTTAGATTTTTCAAAAGGGACTATTATTTTAAAACAGAATGAGTAAATTGATTTTTTTTAGTCTTTCAAAGGATGCCGTAGGCCTCATTTGAGAGCAAACTATTTTAGTAATTTTTTGATTTTTTATAAAAAAAGATGTGTAGAAAATTAAATTATCTTAGTATTTTTTTAAATTTTTATAAAAATATGTGCAAAAAAAATAAAGAGATATGACAATTTATAATAATTTTTTAACTAAAATATTTAATTATCAAATAAAGTCTTAGAGTTCGTTTGGGATGTGGATTGACATTTTAGCTTTTTAACTATTTTAATCTGGGACAAAAAATTGTTATTTGTGATAGACTTTTTAACTTTTTTTTGACTTTTATAAAAAAAAATTATAAATTAAGGGCTAGTTTGGCATGTACTAAATAAGCCAAAAAGTCAAAAAGTCACTATCTTATTTAAGTCACATCATCTTATTTAAATCACATCACCTCTCTAACAATCACATCAAACCCAACCCAAACCCACCAATAAGTCAAAAAGTGTACTTTTTTAAGACATCCCAAACCAACCCTAAATGTGACATTTTATCATATTTAACTAAAATAATTAATTTTATTCTTTATAATTATTTTACCCCAAACTTACTTTCAAACGTAACCATAGCCACATTAATATCCTGATCGATGTCCAAATGATCCCACCACAAATTTATTATTGGTATGAGAGGTGAGGCCACGATGTCGTTCGTCGTCGACACCTCTTGATTGAACTAATCCTAATCGTCAAATCCAAATGGTTCCACAATATCAAATTAGAACCAACTCAATCAACCGGTTAGCGATTAATCAAAAAAATTGAAACGAAGTAGACGATCCCAATCCAAACCCTCGTCATTTCTTTATCCACTCCGCACACAGTTTTTCCACTCTCTCTCTCTCTATAGGCGCGCACACACCTTCAAAACGGTTACCGATTTACTATATCTTCAACACCACCTTCACGCTCCTTCTAGAGCGATCATTATCGTAATCTTCATCACTCTGAATCTCCCTTTCTCTCTCTAAAGCTCTTTCTCTGTATCTGAGCGATGGATCCAAACCCTAATACCTTCCCGATTCTCTCCTATGTGATGTCCAAACTCCCCAGTATCGGCCCCAAACACGCCGCCGCTATGGAATTCGACATCGAGCAACCTCCGCAGGCGCCGCCGTCTTCTGACGGTGCGAATTCCAAGGAACCGTTGTTTGACCTGGCGGATCGGATGCCTCGGTTGACGGACCCCAAAGTGATTGCCTCCATGCGATCCGCGGTCTCTGAAGTGGCTCAGGCTCGATCGATCCTTAAAACCCTAGGTGACCGGCCTGACCACGAGACGGTTGATACCGCGAAGGCGAAGCTCGTCGAGATCGAGTCCAGACTCTCGAAACAGCTCGGAGAAATCATGTTGTCGTCTCGGCCGACGGATGTCGATCGGCTCGAGTGGCGGTCGCTCTTGGCCGGGAAAGAGAAGGACTGCCGGGACGCGGCGGAGAAGGAGAGGCAGGTGTATAAGTCTGTGATATTGTTGGATCAAATGCACGAGGCGTACGGGAAGCTGTTGAACGATTCGGAGGCGAAATTGGTGAAGATTTATGAGTCGGCGGTGGCTGGTCGTGATATGGAGGAGGAGGAGGGAGAGGTGGTGGAGGAGGTGAATGAGGAGGTTGTTGGGATTTTGCAAGAGGCGTCCGGGAAGGAGATAGGGAGGATCGATCTTTCAGGCCGGCGATTGCGTTTGCTCCCGGAGGCTTTTGGGCGGCTTCGTGGATTGGTTGTGCTTAATCTGTCCTCCAATCAACTTGAGGTCAGCATAATTTTTTCTTAATTGATTCTGCTATAATGTTCCTGTGGTGTTGTTTTGTTGATAATGTGTAGCGGGACCCGTGGTTGTGACTAAGTGTAAGTGGTGGAGCATGTTTTGTTGACCTGAACTTAATCACCCTGCCCTCTTTGTAGAGCTGTGGGAAAGTATTTATAGCTTATGCCTCAACAGCTTATACTTTATAATTTTTAGCTTAAGCTGATTTTCAGCTTATTCTTAAAGCATCTCCTGCCCCACTCAAAGAATAAGCTGATTTCTGACTTCCAAAAAGTTATAGTTTATAAGTTATAAGCTAAACTAAATACATCAAAATAGCTTAAATTAAGCTGAAAGCTGAAATAAGCGGTAATTAAGCTCTGTCAAACAGGCACAAATACCTAGATTTTTTTGAATCGCTTTTGGTGGTGGGGTAATGTGTTTGTACCTGATTAATATGAAGCTATATTCGTGCTACGTGGTGGTTCTTGGGCTGTAGGCATTAGTTAGAACGGGGGAAGAGATGGTAAACCTAGTGTTTGGTAATATTTGTCTGGGTGCAGAGTTATGAAGCATTGGTGCGGGTACAGATACTAGTACGAATACGTTATGGCTATGTCAATACGGCGATACGTTAGGGGTATGTCAATATGGCAAGACCTAAAAAAATAAGATACGGGTATGGTTAGAGTACGTCAACAAAATTTTTTATTTTTTCATATTTATATTTTCAAATTCAACCTATAATCAATGTTCAATACTAAAATTAAAATGAGAAATTACAAAATCAAAAGAGGAATCATAGTTTAATAATACAAATACTAAAGCAAAGTCCATTGACTAATTTAATATCATTAAATAGAAGAAATTACAAAATAAAGTTTCATTTCAAAAACAAGTTAAATAAAATTTGAAAAGTTAAAATTTCAATTTTCATTTCCATTAATTTCATCGTTGAATAATACATTTTTCATATTTAAGGTTTTGCAATTTCAAGTAAATCAAAACTCTCTAATAAATTAAACGTATCTTATCAATGTTCCATAACTTGATGTACCCCGATGTACCCATCTTGTACTCACGAAGTACCCGACTGCCAAAGAATGTATAAAAGTACTTGGTACATATTTCGAGCACTCGGTATGCATGTAGTTTTATTGGTACAAGTACGTCAACATTTTTGAAGTATTCATGCTTCATAGGTGCAGAGCCGATTTAGACAATTTACTCTCATCTATTTGAATAGGTTAACCCATGTAATTGTTTACAATTGCGTCAAAACAAATATAACACATCAATGTTTTTAAAACTGGATTGGACTGGTTGGTTCGACTGGTTGACTTGTTGACTGGCCTAGGCTCCGGTATGGATACACCATCAAACCTTGATCAATTCGAAAACCAGCCTCTTTCAATGAAAATGGCAAAACTGCGGTTAAACCGGTTGACCGAACAACCCGGAGATGGTCCAAAAGAATTGGCCAGACTTGGACAAGGTGCTACACGCGTGGTCTATGCATTGAAAAAAGGTTGACTGGACAACCCGGAGCCCGTCCGAAAGAATCGGCCGGACTTGGACAAGGTGCTACACACGTGGACTACACATTGAAAAAATGCAGTGTAGGTGGTTCGAATAGAAGACCTCAAGCATATAATGCTTGTTGCTTTTCACCAAACCACATATATACCTCGACAATATATTCTAGATATATATTATTTATTGTATTCATTTTATTTTCTCTCAAATTATCATTTTTACAAACAATATCATTATAAATATAAATGTATAAATATATATAATATTAAATATTTTAAATGAATGTATATTGATACTTATTTTATTGAAGTATAATTTTTAACTTATTTATTAGGTAATTATGACGTCACGGTTCGATTTCGGTTGACTCAACGGTTCAACCAGTGACCTTTGATTTGGTCATTTTTCCTATTCGATCAACGGTCCGAGTTTTAGAACATTGTAACACATTTCTAGTTTGGTGTCTGTTATTCCAGCAATATGGTGATGCCACATTTATTACATGAATAGATAAGTATGATAGATTTTGGAGGCAAGGTTAAGAGTCCTACTATTATCAATAAGTCTTTTCGGTCTAACACTGTTTGAATGGGGTGATTTGGTGAGAAAAAATGATGAGAAAGATAACTATTTTTTCATGTTTGTAAGTTGAGTGAGAAATTGTGAGAAAGAGAACTCTCTTACTAAGCCTATTTAATTTTTCACCAAAAGTGGTGAGATTTTGTAAGAAACAAGTTAATTGATTATAAAATATTTATAATTCCAAGGTTGCCCCTTAAAATACAAAGGAAGAAAAAGAAATCTCACTCATATCTCTCTCTCACATACTTTGCTTTCTTACTACTCATTCAGACATGATAGTGACAAAGCACAATCGTTTCTTTTCATTTCTCACCTAGATGAATCTTTACTTTTTTTTTTATTATTATTTTTTTTCACCTTGCGATCCAAATGGAGTGAGAAGTATTCATAGTAGTGTTTAGAATTTTCACTACATTTATCCTAAACTGGTATGCTAATGGAGTTTATTATTTATGTTTTATTTAATTTAGGAGATGGGGTTATTTTGGTAATTGTCGTTCTAATGGCCCGTTTGGATTGGGGGATTCGGTGAGAAAAGAAAAGATGATGAGAAAGGGATCTCTCCTCACTTGTTTGGATGATTAAGGAGATGAAAAATTGTGAGAAAAAGAAATCCTACAAAACTTAATTTTTGTTTCACACTAAAAGTGGTGAGATTTGTGGAGAAATCAAAATTGGCTTCATTAAAAATTTGTAATACCTAAATTACCCTTTAAATACAAAGTAAAGAAAATAAAATGATACATGTATTCTCTTTTATTTGTTATTTATCTAAACAGTACAGTGAGCAATTACAATTATTTCTTTCTTTTTTTTTCCTTGTCAATGTGAGAAACTACAATAATTTCTTATCTTGCGATACAAATAGAGCCTTAGTTTTTAAATTGGAATCCTAATCTTTAAAAAAGTCAAAGAAACATGTAGCTTATAAAGCATACACATATTTGTAATCTCATCGATTCAATAGAATTGATATTATGAAAATTTTATGTTGTGTAAGATTTGCTTAACCCGTGCGAGGATAAGCTCTTGGTTTCTTCTTCTTTTTGCATAGACTTTAGTTACCCATTTGTAGCTGCTAAATCCTAGCCAAGCTCAAATTGTCTCCAAACTTTTGTCCTACCCTTTGACCACTAAATCCACACTATAACACCATAATATAGTTGTCTATAAATCTTGTTACTAATTTGGGATATCCAGAAACCTAAGAAGCACAGACACGGATGCGGATGAGGACACGAGATACAGTGATTTCAGAAAATGAGAATATGGATATGGTGGGGACACGGCAATAAAATATATTTTCATATATTTTTATTTGTTATCTAGATTAATATTACATCTACAAATAATCAATATTAACAAAAACTAACTCCAATTCTATTTTTTTAATTATTTTTTTTTTTAAAATTAATGCTTACAATTTATATATATATATATTTTTTATAGATGATTTATTAAGTATTTAAATCTAAGAAAAATATAGTAAACATTCAACATTCATCAAAAGCATTTAATTAAATGGGAGAAAAGACAATGTGGCATGTTCTTAGTGTGGAAGTGTCCCCGAAGTATCCCCGGCGTGTCCTCTAAAAATAAATTAATTAAATAAAGGGACACACCACGTGGTGTGTCATCGAAGCGTCCATGTGTCCGACACGGATATGACACTTGTTTTGAAGTGGCGGTGCTTCATTACCTGCAACTTACAACTTGTTGAAAATTAAACTTAATCTCACACCTATTTGATCTTCGAACCCTAGACACTTTCTTTTTATCTTCTTTTTCTTAGAACCCTAAGACTATGTTTGGATGACAAGAATCAGAGAGTAGGGATGAAAATCCTATTATATGGAATCCAATTACTAATAATAATATTCTTGTGTTCATGTAATTTAAGTTGTTGGTTTGATTAGGAATCCTCTATAGGAATGTGATATAATTTTTTTTTGGTCTATCTATTTGTTTTATTCTTGCGTCACTAGTGTGGTTATCTACTCGGGAACCAGGCCAACTTCTTAAAGTTGTAGTGCATCATAGCATTTATGGGTTGTTGAGAATCGATTATGGTGCATGAATTAACTTTACTTTCCCACGGTATGACTATGCATGCCCTTTATCATGAATTTGGATTTATTTGTTTGCAATGATATGAAGGTTTAGACAACTGTGAGAGCTTGAGAAGGGAATTTGTGAAACTAGGATGAGGGTTGGAAATGCAATGGGGGGCAATGCTTCGTTTGTCTTTAGAAATGCCCATCATACTTTTTGATCGCCAAACAAGAAAAAGAATGGAAAATATTGTATCTGAGAGATGCTTGTGATATCCTCTTGGTGCAATTAGCACATCATTTTACAAGGCAATATTGCTTCAGTGTAGAATAATATGATCACGTAGATAGAGAGACATTGCTCTGACGTTGAGGAGTGGTTTCATTATCGCTTGAAAATTTTCAAGGCAACAAGGTTAAGTTCACAAGCCATATCTTCATGCCTACGTGGTTTGACTGTAAGTCAACAACATTAAGTTGGCAAGCCATGTCTTCATGTCTATACGGTTTTGAACTGTACCAAGACATGGTGCATTGCACTTGGAGTTGCCATGTTGTTTCCAAAGAATTTTCTAGTGCTCCCCCAATCATTTGCATATGACTGCTTTTCTGTTTCAGCATTCCCTACCTTTTTTCATTTAGCCCACTTCTCTTCTTGCAGAAAATTCCCAATCCTATGTATGGTTAAGTTTGTGTTGATTTGATTCTCTTGTTGCTGCATTGTCTGAGTTACAGCATTGTCTGAGTTACATAATGCATGCAAAAATTTGTGGTGTTTTATTCCATTTAATATTATGCTTTATATTAAACAATTATCATTTAGGTTGTCATTCACAAATGTGGTATAGTGACAGTGGGCAAATTAATATTACTAGCTGAGAAAGGGATAAACTAGTTTCAAGTTGAGGTGTAAATTGGCCGGTTACTTAGATGGGGTTTGGTTTGGTTGGATCTAGTGGTGTGTGGTCTTGGTAAGCACTCAACTCAAAACTATATATGCTTGACATCAAGGCTCATTTTTAGGTGTTGCTTCTCACATCAATTCACATGAGGTGTCAATTTTCCCTTGACTAACCATGTGGGTGGCATGGGCTTGGATATTTGAGTAGTAGTTTTTAGTTTTATGTTTTGGTGCTTCTATCTTTTGATTTAATGCATTTATTCTCATGTTGTTGTACTGCAAATCCCTAGAACCTCGTCTGTACAGAGTTCTGTCAGGTATTAGAAGAGGATTGACATGTCAATGGGTATAATGTTAACCTTTCGTTATTCCATTTGATGCAACAAATAATTATAAACTTACGTCATTTAGAAATTATTTGTTATTGAGCTTTTTACTTTAGTTACAGATGTCTGTCTAGTTTACTAGTAAAATGTGTCCACCTTGATGATGAATTGTGCAATGCACTCGTTTAAAGGTTTAGATTTTACAAAAAATTCAAAATTTCACATTTTTGTGTTTAGTTTGCAAGCCAGATGAGCCAGACATCACGCTGTTTCATTTTTGCTTCATTTGCATGAAAACTAGAACATAGTGTTTACTTCAAGACTTAAAAAGAAAAAAAGGAAGGCAATAAATGGCTGGTGGTGGAATGACATTGATTCTTAACAGCTCTGGTCTCAGACCGAGTTACTGAAATTTGCATCAAACCGAACCATAGTTGCATGTTGTTTGTTTTCTCATTGGAAGTAAATTATCATGCCAAATGCATTAACTTTCTCTCAATGATTGAATTTGAAGAAAATTGTAATGGTGACATCACTGACTTTGTGTGATGGAGTTTTGTTTGTCCATACTTCTTCCTGATGGTTGGCTTATGTTTTGGAGGGAAACAGGCTATTCCTGATTCTATTGGAGGTCTGGAAAATCTCGAGGAACTTAATCTCGCTTCAAACCTTCTGGATTCTTTGCCGGACTCCATTGGGTTGTTGCTTAATTTGAAGATTCTAAATGTTTCTGGAAATAAGCTTTTTGCCTTGCCTGACAGCATTTGTCATTGCAGGTAATCTTGGTTATCACAAAATTGAATCTATTTTAAATTTTGGCATCATCATTTCTTGATTTATTTTATTTTTCTCTTGATTATTCCAGGTCATTGGTGGAGTTGGATGTGAGCTTCAATAAGCTGGCTTACTTGCCAACAAACATTGGATATGAACTCGTGAACCTGAGAAGGCTTTCTGTCCAGCTGAACAAGATTCGTTCTCTTCCCACTTCCATAGGTGAAATGAGGTCTTTGTGTGTCCTGGATGTGCACTTCAATGAGCTCCGTGTTCTGCCACTTGCAATTGGGAGGTTGACAAATCTAGAGATCCTCAATCTGAGCAGTAATTTCACTGACCTAACAGAACTTCCTGAAACAATCGGTGATTTGACCAATTTGAAGGAACTCGACCTCAGCAATAACCAGATCCAGGCCCTTCCCGATACATTTGGCCGGCTTGACAATTTGACCAAGCTCAACTTGGAATCAAACCCTCTTGTAATTCCACCGAAGGAGGTTGTCAATCTAGGGGTTGAGGCTGTCAAGGTTTTCATGGCTTAACATGATTCGTTTCACAAGGTCTAGAAGAGCGGAAGAGCATGCTTGAAGTGAAAGAGCAGACACCGACTGGTTGGCTAACTCGCAGCACGTCCTGGCTGAATAATGTCGTGTCAGGTGTTTCTGAATCTGTTTCAGGATATTTGGGAACTGTTAGAAAATCCCCTGTGGATCCTTATCTTAATCAGCAGCTATGATCTCATTTTCCACTGAGTGATGCTTTTGTGTATGTGCATTTGATGCGATGATATTGAAGTCTCTTCATCACAGGTACTCCACTTTCTGTTCCTCGTTTGGCAGACATTTAAGAGGTATAATCAAAAGTTTTTTTTTTATTTTGTTAACTAGAATTCTGAGAAATGTTCATAGGCTTTGGGGAAAAAATGTCAGGATTTTTTTTTTTTTTTTAATATTTGCAGTTTGGAAGATAGAAAAGAGAGAGAAAACAACAATCCTAAGCTGATATATAACTTTTTGGATGTGATTAATATTGTTGTTGGTTTGGGGTGTGTTTTTTGTCAAACCTTTTACTTTCTTGTAAGTTGCAAGGGTTCTTTAGTTAGTTACTTTCACATATTGTAAATTCTGAACATTTAAAAATTAGGATAAATTACACTTGGCTCTTTCAAGTTTGTAAAAAATATAGTAAGTCTTACAAATTTGACATCATTACGTTGAGTTCCCTAAAGGCTTTTAATTCACACGATAGTTGGCCCATTTAGAAAAATAATTACACTGAAATTTATATTTTATTTCGTCTACATTAGTGTCAGTAATTTTAATTTTATTAAAAGGCAGGTCAATTTAATTATGGCAAACTTTCAGACGGCAAGAGAAATAAAATTAAGTATTGAACTGTATGTTGGATAGGCTAAAGCTGGTGCTGTCTCAAATATTATTATAAACAAATCAACTGTTGTTTTTAAGCAAAGAGTGTGTGTACTTTCAATTTCAAGCATGATTGTAGAGGCCAGAGTGTTGACTTGGTCCTTGTATTCCAGTTCATATGGGCTACCTTAGGCCTCTATGTTTGTGTTTGGGTTATGTCGTGAGGCCTGCTACCCCATAAAACATGATATACTCTTTTCTTTTCTTTTCTTTTTTTTCTTTTTTTTTTTTAAATAACCGAGAACTGATTTTTGGAAAGGCCATTTGTACCTAGGGATGGCGATAATCTACTTTGTGGGTATTTATGAAGTTCTAACCTAAATATATGTATTTTTTTTTTTTCTTGTCCATCGAGTAGGGTAAGTGATGTTTTTTAAATTTCCACCAGGGATGGATCGGGGATGGGTATCCATTAATTTTTCCATAAGTTTTTATTTTTTATTTTTATATAGATACATTGGAAAATAATTTTTTCATATGTTTTCACTACTCTGTTTACAATTAGAGTTCTAATTCTCTCTCTCTCATCCTCTCACTACAAACGGCAATTTGCGATGATGACAATTTAGCGGTGACAAGATTGTGACAATTAATAAAAAATGCTCAAGTAATCATAACTAAAACATGAAAATTGAAGACAAAGATATACAAAATTTCAATTAAGGTGATCACTAGTTAAGATGAAAATTGAGAAATTTAATTTAAGGTTACTATCAAATCAGGGAGAAATTCAATAAAACAATTGCAAGAGATATTGAAACAAAAAAATTCATTCTATAAATACAAATAAAAATTTAAAAAAAGAAGAAAAAAGAAGATAGAAACAGGAACAACAACTTACCTAGATCAATTAATAGAGAGGAGAAGGAGATACATAAAATTAAAAAAATAAAAATAAAAAAGAAGATGTAATTTTTTTTGTAGGAATAGAATTTTTCTAAATAAATTTAAAAAATTCTAAATATTCCTAAAATTTGACAAGAATAATGTGACAATGTTAATTAATGTGTATTTGATTTTGTTGTTGAGCTAAATAAAATTAAATAAGATTGAATGTATATTTAGGCTTGGTTTGGCAAGTCCAAAATAATTCAAAAAGTCAAAAAGTTACATAAAAAACAAAAAAGTCATTACTATTCACAAATTAAAAATATTAATACAAAAGTTTGATGGATACTGTCAGCCGTACTTGTGAAGCAGGAAGGCCATTATATATTTGTTGGGCCAAAAAAAAAAATTTACATATGTAAAGCAACAAAGTTTGATTCAAACGTTGGGCCCTTGGGGGGCCACTAAGGGTTCCGTTTTGATAATCTGAACCGTTCAATATGTAGAACTCGTCGAGTAATATATGCCTATAAAAAATCACGTTGATCGGATATCGTTAACTATATGATCAAATCAGTTTTGTATAAACAAAATGGATGGTGTGATAGTTAACTGTTGAAAAAAAAATTAGTCCGATCATATAGCTATCGATATCCGATCAATGTGATTTTTTACTAACATATAATACTCAACGAGTTGTATATATTAAACAGTTCAGATTATTAAAATAAGACCCATGATGGCCCCCACATACCAACCATCACTGTCCAAAAACATTGCCCCAAAGGAGGCAATTATTTTCTGTGTAAGACATGTTGGGGGCAACAGTCGTACAACCACTCAACTTTCTTTCACTATACACTTTATTTATACAATTTTTATTACATATTTTTTCGAAAAAAAATAAAAAATTAACTCAAACATCTATCTTTTTTTTTTCTCAACTTTTTAGTCCAAAAAGTCAAAAAGTGCACTTATTTAGGACACTCCAAACAACCCCTAGTTTGGTTGTGAATCTTTAAAAAAAAAAAAGGGTCAAGTTGGGTTGAGGAAAATTTAAACACATTAGGAGATGAGAAGAGAAGTACTTATGAGGAATGGAAAAAAATAGTTATAGGGGAATAGAAATGGGGAATTAATATCTTCCCCATTAACTCCCATTACCATTCCTATTTGTACCCACTCCAACAGTCCCAACTCGAAATACATGGAAGACATCAGGACTCGAACCTAAGACTTTCTACATAGAAATTGAATCGACTTACCATTCCTAACCGACCATGGCTTAGTGGGTAAAGTTGTGAATAATATCTCACTATGGATCTTAAGAACATCCTTATCACACTACTTAAATTTTATTTTAAAATATTATTAAAAAATTCATTTCTTATTTTGAGAATTACTTTTTCATTTACTTCTTCCAACAAATTCTCTATTTTTTCGCTATTATATTAAAATAATATTTTTAATTAATTTTAAATTTAAATATTTTTTTAATAATAAAATAATAAAACACAAATGCAACAGCACAACAACATAGCAGCACAACAACATAGCAGGAACTAGTCGAGGAATGCAAAAGGGCGGTCGACAGATTGAGCTAATTTTAGACATTTTTCTTCTTTAGTTCCAGGACTCTCATAGGACATTCTTCGCGAAATAAAATAATAATTTATCAGATATGAGGGAGTTACAGTAACTTTCTATTTTTAGAGAGTCACTGTAGCAATACTTATATTTGAAGGATTGGATAGAAAAATTGTTAGGGATATATTTTAATAGAAAAACTCCTTATTTTGAGTAAGGAGAGAATATAAGCGTAGAGATGATGATGCCTAAGACAGAAAAGACTTGTTTGAAAATTGTTGGAAAGAGCACTGCTTCCAAAGTTGGTCTTGTTCTTGACATTTTTTACATTGAAAAAACAAAATAAAATGCAAATCGGTGTTATTGTCCTGCTTTAGAAAATTGATGTGTTGGTTTATCTCTTAATTCAAATTGATGTTCAAAATGCCAAAGCTTGTGTATTTAGTTTATAGGTTCAAAAAATCCAACCAAACGAAAGACCAAAACAAAAATTTAAGATTATTTTCTTTGTTTCAAAAATTTGAGATTCTAGTTCTATTCATCAATTTTCAACAGTATCAAACCAAAAGGGAAAAAGAAAGTAAATCCAAAATCACAAACAGAAAATCAATAGAATTTCTATAGTTAACTTTTCAAATAAGAATGTCCAAATGCAAAATTTGCCTCTTCTTGGGTGTTATTTTCGATGTGTCCATTGGCATCTTGATGATGGGTTTGAACCCATTTGATGATATTGATGAGGATGATGATGGGAGTCTTGTTTGAGAGGGGCATTGGCAGAGACGATTGTATTGTATGTGATAAGTGCTACGGACAAGGTTTTGATGAAAGTGAAGAACGAGTTTTCACAACCCATTTTTCTTTTTCTCTAGTTTTCTTTCTCTCTCTAGGATAGGAGATGGCTGTTTCAAAATCAGTTTCTCTTTCTCAAATGTTGAGAGCTGTGAGAGAAAAGAAAGGAAGAAGAAAAGAAAAAAAAATGTTTTGAAACGATGTTGTTTTGAAAGTATGGCAAGAAGCATGGCAAGAAACAATATCAGAGGATCCGGATCGGGGTGGGGTTAAGGGATGTGATGACTTGGTGTTGGTGGGGTAGGGGAAAAGGCAGCGACAAGATAGAGATTTTTATGAAAATGTTTGGGAATTGGACTCTTATTTCTTACTTAGATTAGTTATGTGATTCGTGCTAAGATTGAGAATTAGAGTTACTTGTATATTTCTATTACATGGGAAGCTAGAATCACATTTTTATTTATTCTCATTCTCATTCTCCCTCAAGATTATTTTAATGTCCAATTTAAAATAAGATTAGTAATAAAGAGAAATAATAGAGACACAAAATCATTCTCAATGATATATGGTAAACAAATTAAAATATGTACAGCTAAGTGTGTAATAAATTAAAAATTGACATCAAATTAGAATTTTGGGCAAATTACTAACACCCTCATTGAGGTTTAGTTCTTGTTTGGTTTGTCTCTTGAGAGACAATTTTTGAGAGAAAATTTTAAAAATTTGTTCAGGTAAAAATATTTGAAAACAAAAAAATTCAAAATCACTTTTCTCTCTACTACACCTCAATCATTCACTTATTCTCTCTTATTTCTCCATCTCTCACATCCTATACATTAATCAATCATTTTTTCTTTCACGCCTATCTATTCAACTACAAAAAAAAAAAAAAAAATTAACCCAAACATCCATCTTTTTTTTTTCTCAACTTTTTAGTCTAAAAAGTTAAAAATGCACTTATTTAGGACACCCCAAACAACCCCTTAGTTTGGTTGTGAATCTTTAAAAAAAAAAAGAAGGGTCAAGTTGGGTTGAGGACAATCTAAACACATTAGGAGATGGGAAGAGTAGTACTTATGGGGAATGAAGAAAAATAGTTATAGGGGAATAGAAATGGGAAATTAATATCAGGAAAATGCTAGAGGTCCCAAATTTTTTACCAAATAAATGACTAAATTTCTCACATGGGTGTGGGGTCCGCAAACATTTGGTCATTTATTTGATAGAAAATTTGGTATCCCTAGCATTACTCTTAATATCATCCCTATTAACTCCCATTACCATTCCTATTTGTACCCACTCCAACAGTCCCAACTCAAAATACATGGAAGACATCAGGACTCGAACCTAAGACTTTCTACATAGAAATTGAATCGACTTACCATTCCTAACCGACCATGGCTTAGTGGGTAAAGTTGTGAATAATATCTCACTATGGATCTATTCTTGCATTAAGAACATCCTCATCACACTACTTAAATTTTACCTTAAAATATTATTAAAAAATTCATTCTTTATTTTAAGAATTACTTTTTCATTTACTTCT